GACTCTTCTGTCGCGTCTTATTCAAATGGTAATGTAATGAAGTTTCCAGAGACTCTCTGGAGACATTAATCAAAGAACAATAAGAAAAATTCAACTTAAATGGCTCTATTTCTCTAGAGAGACGACTAAAGTTGCATTGGAAAGGAGACAAAGATGTGCATACATTAGGACACGCTGGCAAACAACGTACGTGGAGGAAGAAGCGTGCTGCGTAAATCGAGACCTATACAATGAATTGAACTAAATATTCACAGTGAAAAGTGCTCCGCACAAGCCAAGGCACGCGTTTGGGGATAGTTCAAGTGTTTCCGTGCCACGAGCAAAGCAAAAGTTCGGATTACAAGGTAGGGATGTGTATGAAATGTCTGTGCTGGTGCAAAGTTAATATTTGAAGTTAAAACCTCAAAACTGAGCAGTCAATTAACTCGTTTTGTACTTTTTATGAAAGTGACTGGAAGCTGACACACTCTTGTTGCTGTGACTTGAAGTAAAGTTTTTACATTAACATCACAGCGTAAGTAGAGACGTTGGTTTACGAAAATTAAATCAAAACGTCCTAGTTCATGAATTCATTTGTCCTGATTTGTTCTCTTACACAAATTTAGGATGCATGCTGTTGCTTCAGCTATTCAAGAATCATTTCAATGAACAACAAATGTACAATTTGTGATTTTTCTGACCGCTAATTAGTCGGTTTTGCTGTACATGTTACCTGTTCACATGGGGCAAAATACATGGAATGGATGCTCTCTTAAAAGAAAGCTAAATTTTTGGATTAGATTCCACTCATGTTATGTTAACTTAATCCTGTTTTTTCAGCGATATTTTTCTCGCCACAATAGAAACTTAATGAGCATCTAATCCTTTGGGGATAAAAAGATAAATGATATGGCAGTAAATTATTTTGCTTTTATTTCAACCCATTTAACACGTCGTGCGCGAGTTGTCTCAGCAATCTTTTAGTCACTAAATTGAGGAACGATGATTACATTCCGCGTAATCTTTTTCAATTCAAGATTACCTGCCATTCGTTCGAGTTATGTCGTTAACTATATTAGGTGGAAGATTCAGCGACTAAGGAGATATCGTAACCGTCTATAGCTACTTAATCGTAATAAAGATCAAAACTTGCAATTGTTTTTGGTTTTTTTTTGCTATAAAACCCGTCGTGCACTGACACAACGCACAAATACCCACCTTATTACTAAAACTGTTACATAGTGAATTTACTCTTAAATCTAATTCTATTAAAAATGGTTGACATCGTAGAAAAAAAAACCTTATTTCATGAAATATGAAATAATGTTCCAATGAAAAACGTGAAGTTTATAAACGAAACGCAAGTGAATCACACCCCAATTTTATATATACATAAAAAGAACAACAGCAAAAACGATAACGAAAAAAAAAACAACAACCAAACAAACAAATTATTTTTTATTAGAAAAGTTTCAGGAAAGAAAAATCCCGCCTAGGTTGATCATATTTCTCGTATGTTCACATTTCTAAATTTTCATTGAAGTTCCTGCGAGTTATGAAGATTTTCCAACTCGTTTTCAATTTCTTTTTGACCCATCTGTTGAACCAAATGAAAGTTAAATACAGACAGGCAAGAAAACCGCCTTCCCTTTACTTGCCTAGGTCTATCGGGACAATGCACTAAATCATAAAAAACTGCAGTCGAAACAAAAATAATGATATTTCTTTAAATTTTTAAATAAAAAGTTTCTAGATGTCAACACTTTGATATTTGATAAAACTTATTTTCCCGGCTCTAATTCTTTGGTAAAGCGAAAAAAAAACTTCTAATAAAATAACGTGATCTTTTTCAAAAAGCTCGCTATCATCCTTTACCCTCTTCTATAGAGTGATAGCCTGGAAACAAAAGTTGCTGCGCAAGTGCTTATGGGATTGTTTCTAGGAACGTAAGTCGTAACAGCGCAAAATGAGAATTACAGTATATGCAAAAAAAGCTATCAAACAGAAAGGATGATTTGTAAAATTCTCAAAGTGGCTGGTACACGAAAAAAATCACCGATACTAACAAAGAGGAAAAACGTTGAACAATACAGGAAAAAGATGTATTTCAGTTTCGGCCTTAAATGGCTTTTAAATTCACCGTACAGTATCTTCCCTGGGTCAAATCTGAAGGTCATGAGATTAAGGGAATGATTACTAATTTAGGAAGCTTCCGATTATCCATTCGTTAAATTTCAAAGTTACCTTTTCATCCTCAATTGCTATAAAGAAGACAAACTTATTGGAAACTAAACTAGAAAAAACACATCGATCAAAGTTGCCATGACATCGCCAAGTATACTGACTTGCTCCGTCATAACACAGCTTAGTAGATGTCATAACTAGCTTTTAGCTCTAAGATGCATCTTCTCCAAAAAAAATCAATAAAATAAAACCTACCCTATAATTTCTTTTGAAATATTCTGGAATTCAAATCTCGATGTTGTTCCCAGGGAATCCAAATATGCTATTTCTCTGTTTCAATTTCCAGGGCTAGATGAAGAAAGAAAGACAAAAAGATAACCATTTTCGTAACGGGTTACAGCGCATTGACAATTACGACTTACTGATTTTCCAACTCCGTCAAGATAATTCTTAAAACAATGCACTACTCAATACCAGCTTATGATACTTAACAAATTAGTGTGTACATGTTATGCGCCCGAATTAATGAATTTTAAATTAGCTTTTGTCCCACAAAAGTAGTCGAACCTTGAATCGGCTAAGCTTTAGTGGCTGTTGGTAATTTTACACTCGAGATTCCTCTGAGTGAAAAAAACGAAAAGAAATGCGTGAAAGCTGTGGACTGGGTTAGCTTAAGCGACAAAGCACGCCATAGTGCATTCATGGTAAGCTTTTTGAAGAAAGTGTAAATGCAATTTGGTGCACTAGCTTTTGTATCTGTTTACAGTGGCAGGTGATTTTCATTGTAACAGCGGCAAAGTGAATTGATCTGATACATAATCTCCCGTAACTAGAGATGAATTTAAGGACATCCCCTTATATGAATTCGCAAGAACTATTATCCATATCTTTCAACAGTTATAAACGCTCTCTGTATTTTTTATCACTTCTCTTCGCGATTTTAAATAGAAACACTCGTCCACAGTCTAAAAGACTAATGGAAGGTTCTCTGCCCTCCAGCAGAGCATTAATTTTCTACGCTTTTCTTTTCGTCGCATTAAAATCACAATATTTCACAATCGACGAAAATCTAGGGACTCACACTCGTACATTCCAAAATCAGTTCGAAGTGCGCTCTAACTTCAACAAAGAATGAAAAAATAAAGAAACCAGTTCTTTGTCAAATCGTGATTTTAAATTAGGCAGCTGAGACCACAAACCGCAGGAAAGCTATTTCTCTGATGCGTGCATATTTTAAATTTAACTATCATCGGCGATTCATCTCGGCAAAACATAAACTAGGTTTGCATTTTCATTTCAACTAGAAGCTCTTTCTCCTTTTATTTGAAACCGATTTGCTTCAAACATAATTTTAATCTTTTAATATCGAGTTCAATTTTACAAATTTTCTGCCCATTAAATTGCTTCTGAAAATTTAAGAAACATATTAATAATCTGCCACGGGCAATTCACAAAGAAACATTACAAATAATGACAAAAGTGAAATGTATATTGTTAAACATATATATTTTTTTTGCATTAACGTATTTTTTGACAAAAAAAAAGTACTTCAAATAGATGAACTTAAAGTATTTAAAATCAAAATTTCTAGTGGTAGGAAATTAAGAGCCGACTTGTGAAATATGTCTACAGATACAGTTTATTGTAATTAATCAAAACTCGCATAAACTGCGTTGAGTTTTAATGTCTCTGTAAAACTGCAATGCCTGCAGAGATGAAGATATGCTGAAGATTCGTGCTGTTGCGACACAAGGATTCTGTATAAATAGTCATTTCACTCAGCAGGAAAATTTTGAAAACTGGAGTAAAATGAATCTATTGACACTGTTTTATTATTTTCACAATTTTGACACGAAATTGGAGATGCTTTTCTTTTAAGGCCTTTTAGGGCATTGTGGTTTAATTGCCACAAGGTAAAAAAAAGCAGGTCTACAAGCTATTTTCGTTAACTGCCTACTCTTGGATAGAATCGTAATTGCTATCATCTATCTAAGGTGAACGCGGGAATGAGTAAATACTGGCCATAGACCAGCGCTGTGCTCACTGATTCCGTGCACATACAATAAGGTTTCACCCAAACTCGAGATCCTTTGGTAACCTTGGTGTCTAATATTTGCATACCCGCTTCAGCTAATTTCAAATTAAAGTTCAAATGCTATGAACAAAGAAAAATGTGGAGATCTCAATCAAAGAGTAATATTTCTCTCTGCCAAAGAGGGAGCCGAAATAATGTTTCTGCACGTGCCGAATTTAATTTGCAATGTTTGTTCTTTTTCAATTTTAAAAAACTGTCCGATTGACTTTCAAGCCTTCCAAATGAATTTTTCATTATCTTCGCTTGGTTCCCTGTGATATCGCTGTGATAATCACCTCTTCTCAGCTTTCAGTCGGTAACTCGAGGTCTAAACAACTGACAAGGTAGATAAAAGCCGTATTTTATTTTTTTGTTTATCATAGTCGCTTAAGTCCTTCTGCAAGTTTCATTTTTTTTTCTTAGCTTCAGATTCATAGCTGATTTGTGTATATTCTGCAATTCATGTTTATGACTTAACAGCAAACCCTTTTGAGAAAAACGATTAGCAAGATTCTACCCTGTTTGCGTACACAATTTGTTGATTCTGTTTTTCGTCAAATTTTGTTTTCTTTCAGGCCGTTCTAGCGGAAGTTTTACTTTGGTCAATGCGGATCCTACGCACATTTTTTGAGTGACAGGTATAGACTCAAAATGCACTCATAATTTGAAAGAAAACGACGAAGTTGTTTGAGCATGCGCTAAGTTGAAGCGAGATCTTCAGACTAGCTCTATCTAAGACAGCGTTGCTCAAAAGCCTATCCCGATGCAGTTTATCAAACTCAAGGAAATTTCCAGGAGAATTTATTTACTTTACTGCACATTTACTCTGTTTCTACTGGCGGAGGGAAGAAAGCATCTCACAAAAGTGAAAGTTGGAATTTTTTTGGATCGAATTTTACACAGCGAAACATCGTTTGAAAATTACACGCAGGACCTGGCTGACTTCTATCACAACACAACTTTGACGAAAATCTCCCTCGAAACACAAACGATTCAGTTAAATGGGCTGCCGTTTGAGGATATTTCGAGAAGATTTTGCGTCGATATTGTACAAAACAACATCTCAGTGATTGTGTTGCAGACGCGAAACCTGGAGCTCACGCAGTTTGTGGGACACTTGGCTTCCTTTTTTAAAATACCGGTCATAGAAAGTGTTAGTAGAGAGCCCCTGCTGTCCGACAAGGTAGGAAAATCATTATCCTGTCGTTTTAAGTTGAAAATTTTGACTATTTTCTTTTCGCTCACTAGAATGTTATCCTTTACTTCACTCAACATTATGATAAGTTCCTTGAAAAATAATCTGACGTTTCTGAAGAATCATGTCTCTGAGGACAGACGAAAAGTCAGAATTAGTTCCGGAAAAACAAACAATCCGATCAGATATGATTTTTCTCGCAGATTCTGTCAAAATGTTTTATATTCATCATTATCTCTAACTAAAAGAACGGTTCAACCTTCTTTGCCGCTAAAATATCTGACGTTAAAATACATCTTTGCCGATGGAACCAAAAATTAACTTGGACAAAATATGGGGAATAATTTATTTTTTCAGCGTCTAAAAAAAAAAAAACAACACATTTTCGTCGCATATTTACAGCTTTCATGACATCCGTAAGCACCACAACACGCATTTTAACGAATTGAACAAAGGAAAATTGCCTACAGAAAATCGATCGTGACCATAGAAACAAAGGTGCCCCCTTTTTATAGCAATTGCTAACTTCTAATTTAAAGTCAAATTTTAAACCGTGAAAGCTCTTGACTCCTACACAAAAACCTTGTTTGGACGTGCAGTTTACCACAACAGTAAGATTTTACCGGTGTTGATTCTACCACAGACTGTTAATGCGATTAAATACAAAGCCGCAAAAAGAGATTGCATATTTCATTGAGTGCCCTTTCGAAATTTACGTGTGATTATACTACAACACATCCTGTCTGATTTTTATCGCTCACATCCGGTAGAACCTTTTAAATCGCATTTTGCTGAAGGGAAACGCCATTTCTTTACTTTTATACTGAGGAAAAAGTCTCACGGAGCATATAAGTGGCTAGTTCATTTATCGTGTTTAATGTTAGTACTGTATGCTACTTTCTACTTCAATAATCAGAATCATGATTACCACTTAAGAAACTTCAGTCATTTTATATCTTCACGTAAGACATTACGTGAAGGTAAAATACAGTCTGTATACAAATACAGAAATAAACAAAATGAAAACAAATGAAACAAATGAAATGAATACAGTAAATTACAGTCTGTATACAAGAGAACATTTACATTTTGCGAGCTTAGTTTATCACATCGCTCTTGTAGCATTCATGTACAGCTTTGAAGAAACCTTCCTACTAAACTTTACAAAAACTTTAGACCTGAGGTCAAACTCTTGATCTGATTCAATTTCTTTTAACAAAACGAACCGTCAGTTTTTCATTGCCTTATTTTAGTTTGACGATCAAAGTTCTCCCATTTCAAAGTAAATTTATGTATAGAGCTTTGAGATCCTTTTGCCATGTCTTCCAATTTTTATGTAAACAATAAATCCACGCTCACGTTCAAAGTCAGTACATGCAGTTTCATTTTAATTCAAGGCGTGCAAGACAATTACTGCGTTTGCTTTTATTTTGATCTATTTGCGTCACTCACGAATTTTACTGACGGTTAGTTTTCAAATCATGTCGTGTGTCAATTTATCACTGCTATTAATTACAACGTAATTTACAATACTTCTATCATATTCGACTAAAAAAATTTGGTATCCTCCGCGCAAAATCACGATCACGCAATGTAACTTTCACGCAAGAGAAAGGAGCACGGAACAAGTCATATATTGTAATTCCATATTTTTTCCGAATTTATAAGAGATCAATTAAATCCCATTTTTCGTTTGTCCTTGAAAAGTGTTTACACACAAAGCGTTAAATAGAGGCGAGATATAGGTTTAACAGAAAAAAAGAGATGAAGAAAAGGGATGCATGATTGTGATCAAGGGAACAACTATGACTCAATAAAAATGCGAATATCATTTTGCTGGCCAACCAAAAAATAATTCAAAACTATCGGATCAACAGTGACTCTTGGTGCCAAAGGAACTGACTTAAAGGCATCACGCATATTTTAGTAACAGGATGAGAGACAATCCGCTTTCAATTAAAGGGTTTGTTCAGTGAAACGGTTCTTAAAAATGGCGGACAGGTGGTATTTCAGTTTAAGAAACCTTTCATCCTATTTGCTGTGGTTTTGCATTATCTACTCGCGTGGACGAATGTTAATAAGTTGCGCGCGAAGTATTTTGCAATAGCTTGCCAAGATGTTCCTGTTTCAATGCCCACACAGGAAGGAGAACAATCTTTTTTAATCGTACTCCACCAACCAAAAATAAAAAGACTTTAATTTTAGGAAATTTACAAGAAAGCAATGACATATTTCCTCCAGATATATTAGCAAATAATTTTTCGAAAGAGGTCTGTCTTTTCGAGGAAAACTTTCTTTATTTTCTTTATAAGACGCATGAAAGAACAAAAAAAATTGACTTGATCTAGAGCTTTCATACAAGAAGAGAGACCTGATAGCATTTAAACGTTTTGCTGTAACCTTATCATCAGCTTCGTTTCCAGGAAAAAACCCGGTTATGGAGGACGGACGTTAATATATAGAGCCGCGTTTGCTGCTGAAGCAAACGACTATTTTTAACCTTTTTTCGTTACCCTAACAGTTCCGACACCGACAGAAAAAATCCTTTTGACAACAAATGCAGATATTTTGGCTCTATTGCTCCACAAAAAAAATTCTCGCTGTTTTCCGTTCGAGTAAATGTGCGACTTTCTCTACGTGATGCATGCTAATGGAGCACCATGTAGTCGTGTATTATCGGCTCAGTAGACATATGGAAATATAGCGACTGTTTAAAAGCGGAATCAATCCAAAGTGCTACTGCCCTCGAGGCTCAAGGAAATTCAAACAAGATCTATACATTCAGTTATTTTTCTCACTTTTATCGCTACGGAGGGAAATTGGCAAATTTTTATTTAGAATCAGAAAAATACGAACCTCTACCTTGCGTGTAAAAAAAGACTTTCGAAAGCTTCTCATCAGAAAATATATATATTAGTTGATGCAAAAATGCATTTTGAAACTTCTGCGTTTGCTTGACATGATGCCAAACTTTACCCAAAATACAATTCTAACTTTTTCAGCTCCAAACGCTAGAAAGTCATGGTTACATTCAAAGCGCTCTGCTGGCTGAAAAAGCTATAATTGAAAAATAGTGTTGATCCAGCGATATTATTAAAAAAGGACGCGCACGACATAATGGTTTTTGGAAAAAATTCATAAAAAATTATAAAATATTTACCTTGATATGGCGTTGTTTGTAAATTGGTATTCAACGAGAGTCAAGGTCACGAGAAATACAAAATACATACTTTCAGGGAGCTTTCGCTGTTTGGCGATATCAAAAAGGCTACAGGCTAAAATTAAGCCAGAAAAACAGAATGTGAATACTGAGCGATTGAGTCTTAGCCTACCGCAACACTGATTCGAAATTATGTGCTAAAAACGGCTTATATTCCCAAGTCAACTTGACTAAGCGTAATGATTCAGGCCTTAATGCGACCGAAGAGCTTACAAAAACAATGCAATTAGATGCATAATGGTGAGAAGTATGCGTGAATAGACAGTCCAGTAGTGTTCTTAAAATAGATCGACGTATCTAAAAACCAATTTATGATAATTGCTAGATACTTTTGAATCATGTGAAATTAATGTGGTACCTAGAAAACGATGACTTTGACGAGTTTTTGCTAAGAGTGAAGCTCTTATAATACGTTGGACACGATGCCTATTGACGGAAAACTGTAAAAATATCCCGTGTAATGAACTTATATTTTTTTCAATTTTGCCCAACCCTTTTTATTCCAACAGTGATCAAGACAGAATTTCTCTTTACAGTATCGATACAAGAACACGAAGACAAGTGATGAGAGTAATAAAAAAAAATACCAATTAGGGGATTATCAATCCAGTACCAAATTCTCCGAAATAACATCACGAGCGGTGTATGGCGCATGGTAAAGAGAATCACAATTGAAATCTGCGAGTGAAAAGAAACCGATCCATTTATTTTAGAAATCGATCTTGATCATTTAATATTCAAGAGCCATAGTCTTCTCCAGATTTCCGAAATCTTTTTTTGGCGCGTACGGACCATAAGCTATCACGTGACGACTATCTTAGTGAGTTGCGTTACTTTAATTCCTTGAGTAGGTGGCTCCGCTTACGAGCGAACACGCTACAGCTGCGCTGTTATGTTCTGTTTTTTAATAATGCGTTCTTCGTTATTTACAGGAATATTTCAGTACACTTGTCCGTAACGTTCCATCCGAGGTCTTACAGTTTACAGTATTCCTCGATTTCCTTAAATTTGCTTGGAGGAGACGAGCGTATGTAATAGTCAGTGATGATATGTCGTACGGGCTGGCTCTTCAACATTACCACGAAAATGACTTTGCAGATATCACTATTATCAACCTTGGATCACCTAATGTCGAAGAGGGTGAAATAATCAAGCATTTACTAAAGATAAAATCTAGCACAGCTCACGCTGTTTACCTCTACTGCGACTCAAAGCTAGCGCACTTTATACTCTGGATCGCAAAAGATTTTCGTCTCATCAACGATGAAATGTTGTGGATAATCTCTGAAAGGTCACTTGAAAATATACTAGGCTTTTACACTTTACCCAGTTTCATTTACGTTATAAGAACCCGTCGATTTTCTCAAAGCGAAGAAAAGTTCGACAGAACGCAACTAATTCATAGCTTGTCAGTTATTCAGAGAACGTTTGAATCAATGAACGACACAGAGGTACACCAGTATTTGCGGATGCCTTTAGACTGTTACAGTTCCATCGCTTGGGAAAAGGGCATGGAATTGCACAAGTAAGAGAAAGATATATCTTCTTTAGGGGTAGGGGGACTGTCGCTGAGAATAGGAAAGTTTGACAGATGCAGGAGCAACTCGACTTGATTATGAGTGATCACCTCCATATCTTTCCTTTACCCTCACTCAAATTCAATCTTTCAAGGATCCGATGACGATAGTGTTGAGTTCGAACACTTTCCAGGTTATCCATGACTCGTATGTTTAATCAAGAGCATTTCTAACAGTAATAACCCTTTACACCCTAACATCAGTAGGCATGTTTGCTATACGTTTCTCTATACAATTCCTGGATTAATATCAGTATCTGGGCAACTGCCCACCTACCCAAACATTAACACTAACTTATTATCAATTGACTGTTGTTGGGTTAGGGGAGGGGTAGGTGGGCAGTTGCCTAGATACTGATATTGATCCCAATTCCTTAGGTACTGGAAAGGAGAAATTTCTCAAATAGTCAATAGCTTCTTTAGTTGTCAATCATTCATATCATTCTCATGACCTTAATGTTTGATTCAGGGGTGATATTGTAAGGATAAATTAGATGCTGGTCACTCTTAGGGTTCAAAGAGTCAAACTAAACCTCACCGCTGTGCACTGTATGTAACACCTCGTGGTATTACCATGGAACATCCCTCTGTCCATTTACCTTTCTTATTAAACGGTATTTTGATTGAAATTTGCAAAACCAAAACCATAGCCAATCAGGACAAAGGAAAATATCACTAGGAACCAATTAAAATTCAAAGTGAAAAACAAGCAAGCTGCCTGAAGCACGGGAAAATAGGAGAGTGAACAAGACGCGATTGGTCTAAGTGTTGAAACGGCGAGAGGCTGGCTCGAGATTTTCGGGCCAATCACACTGCGAAGTGAAGCAAAACCGAAGCCTTCTCTGATTACTCTCGAAACCCAACTGAAATTCGCTCAATAAACAATCGCGTACCTTCAATGACCGAGAAAATCCATGGTTTGTTAATCGGAGGCTTTGCATTGCAGACATGTAGAGTAACATGGTTTCAAAAGCTAATGTAAAAACATTGGCTCAATTTCAGTATCTGAGAACCTACCCCTCCACTAACCCAACAACAGTCAACTGTTATAAGGTGGGGTTAATGTTGAGCTAGGGGAGGGGTAGGTACGCAGTTGCTCAAATACTGACATTGATCTAAAATAATTTCCACTGATACAACTTCAATAGTTGAAATACTTTTTAACTTGAGCAGTTTCTTTTGAACCTGATGCAGTCATCACTAACTTCTTAATTGTCGTGAAATCTGTGTTTAGATTACTCGAGGCGAGTGTTAACTCACGCGACTCAAACCAGATGGGGCAAAAAACTAAAAATGTTCATCCTTCTTACGAAATTCTGTATCTACAAACACCTTACAAGCAGAACGAAGGCTGGGTACAAATAGGAATATGGACAAGCAAAGGATTAACATTGCAATTACACGAATTAGATCAGGAAACGCCGGATAAAAAAATCGGAGAAATTCCTCGGCTTCTAGCTGCAGTAGTGGAATATCCTCCGTTAACTATGAAAGCGGACTTCGACGAGAGCGAAGGATGCTATCAAGGATTAGAGTGCAAAAAGTACACTGATAATTCGCAAAATTTTACCAGATATTGCTGTTATGGACTGGCAATCGACGTGCTTCGCTACGTTAAGACAGAACTTCAGTTTGAACCACTGATATATTTTGTTCGCGATGGAAACTACGGTGCCAAAAATTCCTCAGCGGGCACGTGGAATGGTGTTGTACGAGACGTCTTGGAAGGAAAAGCAGACATCGCCATCGATCTCATGACCAACGAAGCACGTTCGGAGGTAATCGATTTCTCTTTGCGCTGGACGCACGCAGGTCTCGCTCTTCTCGTGCTCGTAGGAGAGCAAAAGGTGGAGGATCTCGATTTTTCGTTTTTCCGACCTTTCACAATTTATTTGTGGATGGGCATGATAGGAGTTGTGAATTTCTACCTGGGTCTTCTGTGGTTCACGGACCGTTTGAGCCCTTACGGACATCGTAAGTCGTTTCGAGCTAGAAACCACAATGGGTTTGACCTCAGTGAGAGCATGTGGTACTGCTGGGGAGTATGTTTTGATAACCAGTTTGTGGACTCCAGGCCGCGTAGTTTGAGTGCGCGGGCCATGGCGGTGTTTCTGGCGATTTTTGCGCTGATGTGCGTGACGTCATACACGGCTAACCTGACAGCTCATCTGTTATCTGATGACACCAAACCCGAAGTCACCGGGATCCGTGATCCAAAGGTGAGCATCCGGGACAGCCTACATTAGTTTAAAAGGGTATGAGACATGTTTATCCATGTTGAATCTCAAGGGTCATTTAATTAAGGTGGCTCTGAGCCGCATGCACTGATCTTTTATCAGCTTTGCAGGAAGATGAACTTAGATACGCGACTGCAATAGAAGTATGACAAAGAGGTCACTGGACCCATTTTAGAGTTGCTGGCAAATTCAGCTCTAGTTAAGGGTGTCTCTAAGAGAGTTTGGTGTTTCCACGGTAACCTAAAAGGTAAAAAAATCATCAAATGAAATAACTAGGATATTTTCATACAATTTTCAAAGAATACACGAAAACTTTTGGTATTAATAACTAGAAGAATTTGTGTTACGACACTGTTTTGAGCAAAGCCTCGACATGAGAAACATTTCATTCTCGTGGAAATAAACTTTATTTTCACTGAGACGGTTTTTCACTTGACCCCATTTTGAAAGTGAGGGGCTTTTTTACGTGCAATTGGCCTTTCCAAAATGAAAAAGAGGCACAAACATACCCGTTAAAGAACAGCGCTTCTCACAGCTATTTTCACGAAAAAATCTGTCTCCTTTCCTCTGTGAGGCGTGGGCTTGAATCCCGTTCTTTCCTGCGATTGAAAAAACCTTTACTATCTTAGAGCGCATTTAACATTGTGACGTGAAAGTATTGCCCGGAAGTACTTGTAAAACATCCCAGGTTACGCCATCTAACATCATTGAAGGATGACTTTCACTCTTTCCGGGCCTCTTTGAATATTCATTTCCTTTACGCTAAAACCTGAATTGAAGTAGCTTTTGGATTTCTCTTCAGATCACAGATCCAGATTCGAAGATTACATACGGGGTCGTGAAGTCCAGCTACGTGGATTCCTACTTTGAACTAAACGAAGACCCCATCATGCAATCCATGTTCAGGCGCATGCGTGATAAGAATCACTTGGTTAATAACTTCACAGATGGAGTGGAACGAGTTCGAAACAGGTTTGACATGTTTTTCCTGTTCTATGATAGCCTCGTCAAAATGTCTCACTTGTGCTTAAAACGACACCGCTTAAGTTTAACGCATCTAAAAAGGCGACAAAGGCAAGTGGAAGAAAGCTTGGTTATTTTGTGAGGTATTCCAGGTCCGGTCTTTTAGAAGGATGGAAATGCTATCAGCGGCTATCCGCTGGAAAAATCTCTATCCGGTGGATAGTGCAAAACATTTTGTTTACTCGTATCCGCTCGATAGCGACTTATCCGTTGGAAAGCTTTATCCAGCCTTTGAACGAATGGGCCCAATGAAAAAACCCGCGTAGCCGAAGTCGTCTTCGTAGCCGTTCTTTTCGATGCTACGTAATGTATGCCCCCTCCCCACCTCCCCACCTCCCCTTATCCCAATAAAAGGCTGTGAAATTTACACAGCGTGAAGAAAGAAGTAACTTTGCTATTTCTCCCGGGCAGGGTGGTGGTGAACAGATGAGTAACCCTTCCCTCCCTTCCGGCTACACACCCGAGTGGAGACGCATAACGAGAGTAGAGCACCTCACTTAAGAACGCAACACAATCACACAGCCTGAGCTCAGACCCAGTCCTTTTAACTCAAAATGCAGCACGCTCACCATTCACTCGCAACGCCTTCAGTAATTATCAACTGACGCAATGTTTCTTCCTCAGGAAATTGGACATTTTTATCAGTGAGGTTTTGTCCTTAGACTACGAAGTGGCAAAACAGAAATCTCCGTCATATCCTCGATTACAGGTTGTTGGAGCTGCTAAGCCTTTCGCTGAGAGTGGATATTCTTACGCGTTTAAGAAAAATTCTCCATGGAAACCGAAATTTGACTTGGTCATCAACAGGATGAAAGCTGAAAACGTGTAAGTAGTAAGAAATGCCCTAGTAGTCGATCGAATTTGAATGAATATAGCAAAATAAGTATATATTGACAGTAAAAAAGGCCACATCCTAAATGCTGACTAGATTGCAAAAAATCTCAGGAAGACTTCAATGACATCAAACTGGGATTCTGAGAAAACTAGCTGGCTTGGAAATTTCGAATGATGTTTAACACATTGGATTATTCGCAATGTTTCATGAATTTTGCGATGCACGGTTTTCTTAGCATTGCACTTTCTGGGAATGAACTAAAAATATTTTCGTATGAAAGGTATCGACATTTACCAAGGTTCTGTTCCCTTTACCAATAAGTAGGCTATGTTCACAACGGCTTTCTTTACTACTCTTTACACCCTAACATCAGTATGCATATTCCCCTTACTGTTTAGTATACATTTCGTATGGTATTGAAAACGAGAATTTGTTTAACAATCAAGAGCTTCTTGACTGGGTGCTCATTTTCTATTTTCTCATAACCTCGATGTTTGATTCATTAGTGGTAATGTGTAGAGAAATTGGATGCTGGTCATTCTTAGGGGTTAAGGGTTGAGACTCCTGTCACGAAAGAACACACCTTCACACACACACCACAAATTGTCGACCAGAACAAAGGAAATAAAACAAGAACCCCATGAAAGACAAACGAAACAAATGCAACGTGCAGAAAACGCGGGAACGCATGTGATTGAGCCGCTTAAAACCAATCACAAGCGGTGGTTAGTTTGGGCTTGAATCTCATTGGTCAAAAGTGTGGCACGAGGTTTCAAGTAGGCCAATCACAGCGCGAAAAGCCTAATTTTGTCCCTATTCACAGGCCGAGCGAACTCTACAAGAAATGGGTTTCTTCAGGCGAGGACAGAAGCGAAGAACATCACCAAAGACTGAACGTTTACTCGCTAAGTGGTGTTTTCTTTCTTGGTGCTTCCCTGGCGCTGGTCGCCATACTTTTTCTTTCCCTCGAGAACAGACTCTTCGCAGCAGGTTTCATTTACCAAGACATGAAAGGTGACAATTTCCACGAGAAAGGCACGCGAAAGTACTCGGGCGCAGTTAAAAGGAAGTTACTGGACTTCAATACGAACAAGGACGAGGCAGAATTCCCGGATATATCAGACTACCTCCGTAACAGGAGGAGAAGTAACTTAATGTTAAAGACTTTGTATAATCCTAAATCTATAAAAAGGAAATACGAAGAGGCAGGGGAAAATGGTACCGCCACGAGTTCTGTTTAGCAGTTGAAAGAGTTAGTTATAAAAATAGTGAAATTTGTGTATCAGTTTTCTCAAGATGATAAGCCACTTTTCCATACTAAGAAGGAAGTTTCAAAATCATACCTACATTCGACAACAAACTACCAGATTCCGGTTGTTTGAAGGATGCATGGGGCTATCGAGTAGATAAATCTCTATTCAGTGGATAGCGTAGAACGTTTCCATTGGATAGCGTTATCCACTCTTTGAACAACTGCGCTCAGAAGAATACAGCGGTTTTCGACTGAGAGTCATAAAATTTGGCAAAACTAAAGTAATCATCACGAACAATCAGAACAAGGGTAACTTAATTAAACAAGAGCCAATAAGAATTTAAAGTAAATACTTGAAACCAATACGTCTATTGAATATTACAAAAGGAATCTATGACGGAAAGAGGAATGAGTGATTCGATCTACTGAAATCAATAGCATATGTTTAAGTTGCGCCTTTCGGAAGCCAACCATCCGAAAGATTAAGCAAATATTTTCAGCTTTCCGCTTCAATTTACAAATTCCTGGATTGTAGGTCACTGTTCTAGTTAGGTACTATCTGTTAATCGTTCACAATGAAAACCCTGAAAGAAATCTGAATTCAGCCCGAGAAGGTTCATATGGTGTATCCACCCACCATTGGCTATAACTTGCTTCTCTACGTGAATTGTCAACCCAATCAATTTTAGGGCGCTAAATTAGCTCTTGCATTCATATGTTGATTATATAATCAAAGTCTTAAACTACCTTAGGTTTTTGTATAAATTTGTTTATTTATTCTGCTGAGCGTCAAAGTCCAAACAAACCTCTTTCTAACGTTTCAACCAGTTTCATTCTCTCTGCACGACTAAAGTTTTCGATTTCAAAAACATACAAATCGCAAATTGGCTTCGAATCTTAATACAGCCTTACAAGTTTCCTTCTTCCATAACACGAGGCGATGGCAATATTTTCGTAAAGAGAAAAACCATTAAAGGAAATGTCCTTTCAACTGCTTACTCGAACGACACATAGGATGCTTTTACAATAATTGTTATTAAAGAAATATATTTAGAATCGTTTCTGCTTTGGTTAAAATAAATTTCTATTTAAATACCGTCAAGGATTGGAAGAGACTTCCTGGCTCAGAAAGACAAAGGCTCACCAGCAACACTCAGCCTCCTTTCTCTTCCTAGATTCCTTTATTCACAAAGGTTAAATTATGGTACAACAAATAATACAAGGTTTACTTCCTGTTAAGTCCTCATCTCTTAAACGTTTTCAAACCTCTGTTCCAAATAATACTTCCTCTTTGGATTTTTTTACTTCTAATTCATCATTCTGGATACCTACACTCAATAACATTCTTATTTTTCACGTATGACATGGCTTACGTTAAAGTATTTTTACGGTGAAGGTCTTCGGCATTCATTCGCGGACAGTTAACAGATCATTTTCGAGAGATCGAGATCATTTTCAAAAGAAAGGTTTTGCTTCAAGCCTCATTTCAAAAGTGAGGGTTTTAGAACTCGGGAGTTGTCTAATGTTTGAGGAATAACCGAACGGGAAAGCATAACTTTCACCTCGTTGAGAAAGAGACGTTAGGAGAACACGTGATTGTTTCTTAAAAATTAGAACAGAGAAAACCGCTGGCCCATAATATTGGCGTGATCTTTACATCGAGTTGGCATACAGTAAGCTCTTAGAGGTATTTCTGACTAACGAACTATCACAACCTCTTACACATCATACTATACCCTTTAACGCCATTCACTTGCTGAGTCAGGGTTAATCCTGTTCCAATTTCTCAACCTCTTGTAACTCTTATACAAGTTATATAAATTACGACACTGGAAATTTTCCCCGGCTTTTTGAGACAATTTTCAACCATTTCACCTTACAAGATAAAACGATACAGCTGTGTACCTCTGCTGCACAACTTCAGGTCTTACTTCTACAAGAGCAATGCCTCGTCAAGAAAGTCTTCGTCATCGTCAAGGCCTTCCAAAAGGTCATCCATGCAATCTAAAACAAACAAACAAACAAACAAAATTAAAGCACCAGTAAAATGAACAGGCCACAAAAAGACCATATACAAGAAATTTATATTCAAATGGTCCAGACGAAGGAGCTATTGAAACCTTCATAAACAATATGACCAAAAGTTTTAATTTTGTTTTTTTTTCGCCCTTGGACCAAAAATATTTTTCAAACATGTTTACATATGTGGTACATCTGTCAGCGGTGACGGTTCAGAAAACAAGACTTCAGCTAAGACATCGCGACACTCCAGTCAACAAAGGGCATAGCCATTCTCTCAAAGAGCAATTTCGTAGAACTTTGGTGAAATTCTAATACAAGATTCTTGGTCAGGGTCCCTGGGACACTTTGTTCTTCTTTTGATGTTTGCCTTTTTTGTTTTGTTTTGTTTTGTCAACATGTAAAAATTGATTCACCTTGCTGAAACCATTCGTGCTCTGTAGTTACAGTCGTCTGTTCTTCTGAGGTATTCACCAATTTACTAGAACCACATTCCTCTTTTTCGTTGATATTCTCATCTTCTATGACAACCCTGTCAAAAAATTTTAATTGTAAAGGGCGTCTAGTCTACGTTGCAGACCCTCAAGAGGGTGCTAAAAATTTAACAAGGGCAATCGCTCTAAAAAAGAACGAAAAAAAACTGAGTAGTTGTGTCATTAAGCATCAGCTTCAAAAATACTTTAAATGTACCAAATAGGGGGGTTGGAAAGATCAACGTGTCAACAATTTTGTAGCCGAGGGCAGGTCCGACTGGAGCTTAAAATTCCGCACGAGGATGCTTATCAGAGAGGGGGCCTAACTGAGTGGAAAGATTATAACAGCGTTTACAGCTTTTTAGCTTGTGGTTTCCTAAAAATCATTTACCTTTGTTGATCTTGTTTGTTCTCTTTCTGCGTGCACTGAGAGGCCTAAACAAAGTTTTAATAATTAGTACAATAACATCCCTACAATTACAGTAAATCTAAACTTTGCATATATGCACAGTGTACTGTACTCAACACCTAAAGGATAATTTTTTTTGTCGCTGTTAGAATCATTATGAAGGTAGTAACTACATTTCCACTCTACTATAATCATACAAATAACTTTCCAACTGAGCAGAAGCTTGGGAAGAACTGTCATTGCGAACTTAAATAAAAGTTATAAGATTTCAATGAATATGGAGAGTGTAACAGGGTAACTTTTAGTATTATTAACTGAGTAAATGACGTAAATCGGCCACCGTAAAGAGTTTTAAAGCTGATGTTTTGAGCGTTAGCCCTTGGTCAGAGCTATTGGCAAGGGGTAACGCTCGTAACGTCAGCTTTGAAACTCTTTACGGCGGCTAATTTATGTTATTAACTCAGTTGATAAAACTAAATTACCCTGTTATAAGATTTCATCTCTCCTTTGTTGTTTGTACTAACCAGAGCTTGGCTGTTACTGATGTACTGAGGGTCAGGTGGGTAGATCTGTAAAATATTGCCTGGAGTTATGTTGAGATAATGCTTCCTGGGGGCAGGACTGAACACAGACACCTGTACACCAGGGAATAAAAACATCACATTAGACCATAGTTAATAAAGCTACAAGGAACACAGCAAACAATGGCAGATAAGCTGCATTTGCAGATGAACCACTCCCTGAGTTTGGCAACTCAAATTTTGAAAAAAAAAAGTATTGAAAAGAAATTGAAAGAAAGCACCTGTGGACTCTTTATTCTCATCACTTGCCTGCTTCATATTGTATTGATATTGGAAGGAGAAATTCTGTCTTGATCAGTAATGGGAGTTAAAGGGTTCATTTATAAGCTGTTTACACCAATGTAGGTGTCAACTGCAAGTAGGTACATGAAGGAATGTCAGTGATGTGGGACATAAATGGCTTGCTGGCTTGCACTCTGTCTTACACCTGGGGGGGGGGGAAGGGGGAAGGGGAAAGGGGGGAAAGGGAGAGGGGGGTTGGGTTTACAAAGTCACAATTGCTAATTTATCATAAACTTTAACTCCAGAAGTGATTAACATGTTACTTCTCCCAATAACATCCATACACTATCCAGTAAACAGGTTATGAGAATACTCAAACTTATCAGGTAGAAGTTTTCATCTTGATCTAACACCAAATTCTCTCAACTATATTACAAGGAAATGTGTAGAAGCTAGTAGGGAGAATTATGGATCAGATCTTGGGAGTTAAAGTGTTGATAAAGTACCAGGTACCCTGGTGATTATTTTGATACTCACATGTTTGAGTATTAGGCCTGCACCAGGTGCCAGTTCAGTCTGGTAATTTTCAAGAACTTTTCGATGTAGAGTGCCATGAATCTCACCTGAAAAGTTAATAGAAGTATAATTTACACACAATAGCCCCCTGGAATGATATCAACCCTGGATTTAAAAATGCTCTAAAGACAATGAGGAACATAAAAATCCAATTTATAAACATGGCTGTGTGCTACCTGTGGGATCTTTAAGCAAAACACTAGCATCTGCTTCTGTCAATGAAAATGCCTTGACCAGAGCACAGAGGCAGGGCACTTTGCCATGGTGAAGTCTTTGTTGAATTGCCTGCAAGAAATGAGTTAACCATTAAGGGTACTAAAGTTGCAGAAGTAATGTAATCATCATCTTTGTCAAGACCATGTCTGATTAACTGATTGACTAACAAGGACCATCATTGTCACTGACAACATTCCTTTCCAGAACTACAGTGCAGCTCAAAGATTGGTGTGGTGTTCATTGTAAAAAGGACCTGAACTTAGTGTCGATTATGAGTTGTTAACTTGTAAAGAATTTATTATGATCACCTTATATTACCTAATTTGTTACATAACTAGTATTATAAATAGATTCAGCTGTCCATGTTATTTGGGTTAGGATGAGTTAAATAAGTTGGTAGTTGTGTATCTAGTTATGAAAGTTTTTTCACATTCTTTTAAAATGTTTTTCTTTGCTTAAAGACAGCAATAAGGGGACCAAAATATATAATCCTTCATTCAACCCATTTACCACCCAATTTAGAAAGTTAAACATGAACTTTTTCAGTGACATGAACTGCAAGTTTTTCCAGGATTACAAGTTAATTCTTGACACCTGTCAACAAACTTAAACACAACTCCGGTGCCTATGCAATTAGTCTTTCTTTTGTTTCCTTTTTAATGTTAGTGTGGATGTGAATGTACAATGCTAGGTAGATAAAACATACCTCGGTATAAACCTTGATAATGGTGTATCTCATTGCCGTTGGAACATCTGTGATGGAGAAATTGATCAAAAAATGCATCATATTTTCTCATGTTTCAAGTCCACAATTAGAGTTCACATTTTTGGAAAATGTTTGAAAAAGTAAACAAATCCACACAAGTACAGAGCCAGACAGCTTTTTCTGTACTGGTTCATGTCAACCTGTTCAGCCTTATACAAGTCAACTTTCACTGTTAAGTTTTTTCATGTTACCATGTTCCCAGCAAAAACAATGTGTAAAACACAAAAGCCACACTTGCTCTGACAAAGGGCTAATGCTTGAAACATGAGCTTTAGAAGCTTGTTACCGTGGCCAATTTACACTATCAACTTAATTCTGATAAAACCAAATTATCAAGGATGATTATAGTTTGGAATGAGCAGGACATCAGAGGTATTGACCCAATGCCACAGAAATTTGACATATGCAAAACTGAGGGTACAGAGTACCTTTTAATTATCTACAATACAAGTACTTGTACATAATGTATATCTTTTTTAAACACTGGTAATACTTACTTTTTATAAATTCCTGGTGCATGAAAGTCCATGGATCATGATTAAAATCTTCATCTTCTAAGGTATTTGACTGAGAAGCCTTTAAGGGTAAAAAATGAATAAGTTAAGAAAGATATGCTGGGTGTTACAGAACAAAATAACACCCTAGTAGTGTTGGTATGACACATGGACACTTTAAAATGTACATTTATGGCACACTTTTACTCCATGCATGTAAAGCTTGAAAGGTCTATTGTAAATATCAGGCTAATATTAACTTACTTGCACTTTGTTTTCAGTTGGAGACTTTTTTCTCATGGAAGGAAGTGGTGAGACAACAGATGAATCATCCAGATTTTGACCAGGACTCTGTAAACAAAATAAACATTTTTCTCACTATAATATTACTGGTACACACAATATACATACAGTGCACTGGTATGTTAATACTGGTAGACATAAGTTCTTTTTAACTCATCCCTGACAGATGAAATGGGAAGGGTCCCTGAGAAGTCTCTGGGAGCAGTCATGTCACCATGACAACCCTTTAAGCATTACCTTCAGGCAACAATAAGGATATCAGAAGACAAACAAATATTTAAATAATCTCAAATGTTGTCAACTCCTTAGACCTTCGAGCAGAATTTTACTAGTTTCACCTATCATCCATCTACATGTAAAAATAAATGCCTGGCTCATCTCTGAAGTACCTTTAACCACTTCTTCAAAGCAAGGCCTAATGCTCAACTATTTGTAAGAAAATGAGTGTAATTTGCATGTGAATGAAAATTTATAATCATATGAAAGATGCACATGGACTGACTTTGAAAATAAGGCTAACAGAAATTCAGAAATGGGCTATTACATTAACCCAATTTGAGTTAAATCTCTTGATTTTAGTTACCAGTTTTGGCAGAAGCCCAGCAGGTCCTGGAAATTTTCGTGCCTGTGGGGTTTTGCCACTAAATGGAGTTCTTGCATCTGTCTTGCCTACAGCTGGTGTAATAGTTTGGTGAGTGCGTGGTGTGCTAAGGCCTGCAACTTCCAAAGTTCTGCGGATCTGAGGAGTTTCAGGGGCTTTATTCCCTATCATGTCTTTGTTGAGGCTGAAGGACATGTTCCCTACAGACTGGTTGCACAATGGTGAGTTTGTTCTGTTCACTTGCTTAGGAAAACCCTTTGTTTCATTATTCATTACAGGTGAGCTTCTTGGGGACCATCTCTGCTGTAAAGCAGAAGTATTAGTAACAGAATTTGTAGCATTTTCACCACGAAATGGTACTTTTCTAAGACTGTTCAAAGAACCCTGGTTGTCTCCAGGAATTCCTTTCTTGGTAGAGAAGCTTGAGGCAAGATTACACTTGGAAGAGTCATTATGGGAAAGATCCTTTCTTTTACCAGTTTCAAGCAATGCTGAATTAGATCCAAAGTTTTGCTGTCCAAAATTACAAGAATCTCTCAATGCTGCATGGTGCAGGAATGTGGAGGAACTGCAACTGTTCTGGGCTGCTGGTGCATTAATTGAATGTGACAAGCTGGCTCTATTTTCAGACAGAATTTTAGGCGCTGATATTTGATCTATTGCAAATCTCTTTGCCAAAGGTTCAGTACATCCATTACCCACTGTAGCAGTGATATTCCCTTGACAGTCTGTTGTGTTTGCAAAAGATGCACCTTTGCGTAATCGTTCTCTGGAAGTTACATGTGTGTTCTTCTCAACAACTCTATCAAAATTGTCTCGGTTATTGAGGGATTCAAATGGCCTCCGTGAGTAGTAATTATTGAAATTCTCCACTTCTTTTGTCCTCAAGAGTGCTTTTGTATTTGTAAATGGCTGGTTTTGGTTTGAATTTGTATTTTTCTTAGAATTATCTGCAATAGAGTCCACAGTGCTCTCTCCCTTGCATACTGCTAACAAACAATCCTAAAATTAAAAGGAAAAAAAAGGCCCTAATGAACATGTAAGGAAATCGTACATTATATCCAAGTACTCTCTGACTGCAGAAGAACATTTATTCTTTAAATTCCTACTAAAGCAGAAAATTATTGAATCCCTCAGTCCCTCAATCAGTCAATCAATCAAAACCTTCATTGTATCTTGCTCTTTTTAGATAACAAGGTTGATTACATGTATATCTACTTGTCGGACATGTATATACTTCCTACTAAATGGATCTTAACCTTTTCCCAGACAACTATTCCCTCACAGCCCAAGTATTCGTCTCAATCCCGAATCAATCGATTTTGCAGTTCTATCAGGAGATAATTTGGCTATTTTTCTTTCTTCTTATTTTGACTTGGTGATGCAACGTTATGGAAATGATAATTTTGTCTTAGTTCTGATCTTCTCTAGAAACAGCTTAAAGAGTATCCGCATGTCGTATATTACGCAGAAATTTATTTGCGTGGATAATTAAAAAAATCGCACATATAAGTCTCACCTCATCATCGAGGTCCAGCTCGTCCTCACCGATGGAAAACAAAGACGACATGCGAACTCCCTCTCTATGATAGTCGCAGCAGATGATGTGTCGTTCACTTCCCCAGTTGGTGAGTTTATTTCGCTTTTATTGCTGCCTTATATCATGGCCTCTCTATCTGGGGATGTAAAGATATGGTAATGGATATATATCTCCGCGAATGGACGCAAAAGGTCTTCAAACAGCATGTATCCATATATTTATAGGGGAAATCGTAGCGGCCATTTTCGAAATCGGCCGCCAAATATGGCGCATAATCAGAATGTATTATCAACGCCCTCATTGATCGCGGGCGCTAAAGCAAGGTGCGTCATCTCTCTCCCCGTCCTGTCAAATGAGCAAGCAGGGTCAACAAACTCAAAAGTTCATTTCCAGTTGCGAACAAAACAGCCCCTGGTTGAAAACGTAAAGTCACGGAGCTAATAAATGTCTCTTTTGGTCGAGCAAATAATCTTAATCAAATAAATAAGTTCTGTAAAATTCATTACTTCTCAGTCCTCTTGGTGCTCTGATAATCAATTTTTCGGCCGATTTTCTCAATTATGTCAGCTTTGGATGCTGTACTCGTTTGGTTTAAGAGAAAGTGCACTCGAACTACATTCACCTCTAAATAGTCGTTGTCTACGGCTTAGACACAGGCGTTCGGCTAGAGTTCCACTAAAGCTTCTCAAATGGGAGTGCCGGCGGTTGTTTTAAATTAGCCGTAAGGGGGGGTGGGGAAAGCGGGGAGGAGGTAAGGACAGATTAGAACCTCAGTGCTTTTGCTTAACCCCTTAACTCCCAAGATTTCATTGGTAATTCTCCTTACTGTCTGCCATATAGTTCTTGTGATGATAGTCTAGAGAATTTGGTACTGGATCAAATAAAAATCCCCTAGTTGACATTTTTCTTTATTCTCGTCACTTGTCTGCTTCATATTGTATTAATATTATAAGGAGAAATTCAGTCTTGGTTGGGAGTAATGGCGTTACCCCTGTTCCAAGTGTATCTCCTTTCACCTCTCTCCCTTCAGGGGGCGTGAAGAAGAGATAACCTGGTATCGAATTCGTTCGCCAAGAAACCCTCTGAAACTCGGCGGAGAACACTTTTAAGACTATAGCTGTGAATATATCAGATAGAGGTAACTAATGACAAATTAAGAGTAATTTGATCATTTCGTTACCGTTTGGAATAAGAGACCAACAAACAATACCAACATCCCTTGAGCACACCTTGTGCCATGGTTCTGTTTATATAACCTTATATCACGTGACGTTCCCCTCATCAAAGCTAATGTGAATTTCGTCAGTTGTCCTACATTATTTTGAAATATAAACAGACCTGGCGGCAAAAGTAAAATTCTTCATTTTAATCTCATTTCTCTGCCAATCTATTCTTATTCAGTTCATCTAAAAAATCAAAACATTCGTTGTCCATGTGTGAGTCTTAGGCCTATCCCGGGACGAAGTTGGTGATTAACAGAGGGCATCGGAGTATCTGAAAGAAATGCGATCTTCTGGGTTGTCCGGTGACTGAATCCTTCCTGGAGGTTTATGCTAGCGACAAAGGAAACGGTGTGAAAAGTCAGTGAGACAAGAAAAACGTTACAAAAAAAATAGAAATTTTGTAAAGAGTACACAGGCCACTTTCTGTTGCTTGCTAAGAGAATCCGTCTAAGCAACTTTGAAAAACAATATAAAGAAGAGACAATAAAGTGTTACAAAACATCCTTTACCAGGCGCAATCCTGATGAAAAAGGTATTGAAAAAATTGTAGCACTGAATATTTTGCTCAGCAAGTTAGGATGCGCCTGCATCATAATTTCCCCACCAAGAGGGTCTCATTGGAGTTAACCGTAAGCCGTAAAACGCTCTCAAAAAAGGTAGCCATGAGGCGTAAAAATTAAAAACTGTAACTGTTAGCCGTAAAAGTCTTTGAGACGTGGGGGAATTTATGCCTCGAATCTTCGTTCCGGGGAGGGGTGAGGTGAGGGCTATCCCTTTGTGCTCCTTCATCTGGTGCCAGTTGAATGTCAGGATAATGACCATAGAAAAGGATTTCAGATATGACCCACAAACAAACAGCATCCCCACCTGGGGTCACGTAAAAAGTCTAAGCATTTAGAACTCGCATGAAAATATACATATATACTTTTCAAGTCGGAACCCTGAGGAGTAACAATCGTTTTCCATCCTAAAAATCACATCCTTCATCTTAACTGAAACTCACCTTTCATTTAAATTGCTTTCTTGGTCCTTCTCCTGATTTCACCCGCATAATTTTGAATCCTTGGCTGGAACCTTCAAGACCAACAGCGACGAGACGTCTGGGAGGGGAAGTTGTTACACTCCATACAATACTTTCCATTGCAATCACACTCAGCAGTTGAGCAGACTTGAGATTAAACATTCGAAGAGTATAGTTGGTTGATATGAGATACTCCTCATCACTGAGAAATGCGCATTCAACTCGAGGATAACTTCTGTTGTCATAAGCAGGTAACATACGAACTGCTTTTCCAGAAACTGCATCAAAGACAAAAACGGCTCCATCAAATTTATAACCACGTATGGCTCTGCCCAAAATCACAAACAACCGTTCGGATGGGGAAAAAGTGCCATGGTAATGGAAGAAGAACAAGGCACAAGGAGACGACGTTTGCCAGAGTACACATTCGCCACAAAGTAACTGCAGTGAGTTTTTATCGGCGAGTCTTACCACCTGACCTTTACTATTGCAAGCAACAAATTTACCTTTTCTACCACAGGTCATTGGTGCAATATCCTCCTCTGTTGTATCCAAAATGCTCTCTATCTTTCCGCTGAGCTTTTCCAAGGCAACTCGTTCTTCTGTCACATGGAATGCTCGCCTAATAAACCCTACATTAGTCCATCTTTGGACACACTCAGACAACTCGGCATTCCACAGTTCAAGAACGCCATCCGAGGCTGTGAGTAAAACACCTTTCCTTACAACAACTAGAGTACAGTTGTCCCCAAAACCAGCATGAACGCTTTTCTCGGCTTTTAACGTTAAATTCAAGACGTCCCACGCCAGAAGTGTTCGTGTTTTTCCAGTAGGATGGGTGATTGTATAAAGAGTGTTTCCATCAACTGAAAATACCACTTTCTCCATGGCAGTCTGAGAAACTGCATATCTGTATTTAGTTCGTTCCTCGATGCTCAACATTTCAATGACATCACTTACAGGTGAACCCCTTAACAGGCACTGTTCATTGAGCACCAACGCAAACTCCGTGAACCAATCGGCTGGGCATTTCTCAAACGGATACCACATAGAATCCCCAAGCGCGAAACCAGACTCGGCACACGATTCGTATTCCCAGGGGTCATAGGAAACTTTGTCGGGTACAATATCTAACGACATAGTACCAGTGTCGTTTACTTTCACCTCTAAACACAAGAGATGGTGTTTCAGATACGGTTGAACGGAAAAGTGTGCTCCGAAAAGGTAACGACAGTCTTGGGAGAACTTTATCATTCCCCTCTTGTGCGAGGTATGTGTCTTTACCAGAAGATTAAACCCATTCAGAGTATCAACCAAACTTATACATCCCATAGAATCAGAAATTGCCAACAGATTCCCATCTCGAGACCAAGCAAAAGATAAGACATCATCGGTGCCAATGAAACGACTGGTTTCCGATCCATCAATGAGACTCCACATAATTACACATTTAGGGTTGCCAGGACAATCAGTTAATATTGCCGTTCTCCCTGAAGACACGGAACAAACTGAGAAGGAACACTTACTTGAGGGAAAAAGTGGTTTGAGGATTCCGTCGAAAGAATAGGCATAACTAAGAATTCCTGCTAATACAAGTTGCTCAGTAGGATGAAACAACACAGAACGGTAGAATGATAAGCAACCAGATGCTTCAGGTGAAATCGATCTAAAGGCGTTTGAAAGATACACATAGTCTAAAGGTTCTTGAACAGGCTGAGAACGAGTCCACAAGAGCTTACCAGTTTCTAGTGACCAAAGGTGAATCGTGTCATCTTTACACTGACAAACCATTAAATCTAGCTGAGGTGAAACGTCTAAACAAGCTACCTCGGTTGAACATTGAAATCTGGCTTGAACAAGCTCTTCTTGATCGTTCTTATGTAAATATTCCATGTATGAGAATTCCGGAAATTTAGTCTCCAAAAGGTTTAGTGCTTCATACGATAATGTACGTCCTCCGTCATTCAACAGGATTTGAAACAGGGCCTGAGGAAATTCTGTTAACATACTGTTATGTTTCCGTAATTGTAATAACAAACTTTTAAGTTCTTTCATTCTATGGCACTTGTCAAACGAATCTCTTTTTATGAAACGCTGTCGCTTCAGAACGCGAACAATATCTTCCGAGGCCGCAGAGGAGTTAACACACAGCTTTGCGTACACTAGTTCCAAGTCCAACACATACTTTGTTACAACTTCTTCGAGGCTACATTCTCTTGCATCCTCACTCAATTCAAACATGTGTGTAACGCCATGTTGTAACGCATACTTTGCTGTGTCACTGAAATGTGCACTGCGGACACCTTTTCGCTTCAGCTCATCAAGTTCATCAATGCAAAGTTGGGCAAGAATGTTGTGACATTCTGTTTTGACCACAGTAAAATTGTGATGCCCATAGCATGAGCTGTCAATCAGCCAATCTTTGATGGACTTGTGAAAAAAGTGGATGCACTCATTTTCAATGGGGAGAAGGTTCGAGATACATGTAATAGCTTTTCTTAGTTTCCGTTGATTAGCTGAAGATGAATTTCCCGCTGACAGCAATAATTTTGATACAAAGCCTAGGGGCAAAGGTTCGCGCGCAGCTGCGACAGCGCACAGGAAATTCAGGAATTGGTCTTCTGTGATCTTCAACTGTTCACGTAAATCTTTCTCCAAACGCTCAAAATAGCACTGGTAAACAGACGAAATACCTGCTGGTATGGTGCTTTGCATCACTTCATGTGTCATTGGGACATTGTTATTTAGAAAATCAACCAGGTAGTGAGCATAAAGCATGATCCCCTCCGACTTTACAACTAGTTCTTT